ACAACACGACCGGGACACCATCAAAACATGACCGGGACACCATCACATGACCGGGACACCATCACAACATGACCGGGACACAATCACATGACCGGGACACCATCAAAACAGGACCGGGACACCATCAAAACATGACCGGGACACCATCACAACATGACCGGGACACAATCACAACATGACCGGGACACAACTACATGAAACATGACCGGGACACCATCACAACATGACCGGGACACCATCAAAACATGACCGGGACACCGTCACAACACGACCGGGACACCATCACAACATGACCGGGACACCATCACAACATGACCGGGACACCATCACATGACCGGGACACCATCACAACATGACCGGGACACCATCACAACATGACCGGGACACCATCAAAACAGGACCGGGACACCATCACAACATGACTGGGTCACAATCAAAACATGACCGGGACACCAGCATCACATGACCCGGACGCCATCAAAACATGACCGGGACACCATCCGCCCACCAGCTCTGACGGTGACCCGACGGCGCCCGTCCGCCTATTAGTTTTGCAAGACCCCATAGCATGGCTATTGGGGAACTATGTATTTCAAACATGTCTAAATCCATAAGGTTAGGTGTTTACTAAACAGTTTTTGGATGTAGTAATCTAGTTCTACGCAGCCCCCATGCAAAACCATATTTCTTGCTTTTAGAGTGTGACTTGTAGTGCTCTTATTCAATGCAGTTGGGTAAGTACATCAGAATCAGAAGGCAAAGAACTAAATAACAAAATTCTAATTTAGTTCTTATTCAATTCAAATTCAAATTTATATGTAAATTCAGATTTAACTCTGTTTCAGTTATGTTTAATTCTACGTTGATTCAAGTTTCCTTCACTATAGATTATTTCTAATTTATTTGGGGTTCAAGTTACCTTTAATTTCATGGCTATACAATTCAGATTCAATTCAAACATGTTGTTCTTTTCCAAATTAATTTTAGATTCTAAAAAATTCTCATTTGCTTCTAGGGAATTGGTGTTGCTTTGAGCATGAGAGAATTGTTATGAAGTTCTTCCAACATGGAAGCATTTGCTTTCTTAAATGAAATAAATTCACACCCCCAGCAACACCCACTCTCTAGAATGAAATAGAAAATCAATTAGAATTCCATTTGCATTGAATTGGAATCAGATTAGACTTAAGTCAGACATATAGATATCAAAATTAATTTGCAATGACACTAGTGTAAAATTAGATGTGTAAAACAATTGAATCTGAACTGCATAAAGGCATTAACATTAGAAATCACTTACAAGTAAATTGGAATAGACAACATTTCAATTAAATCCAAAACAGAATGAAATAGAACTAAATTAGAAATAACTTGGAATTAAGTTGGAATTGAATGAGCAACATTAAATCAAAATCCATTACTTAAATTGAAATGGACTTAGGCCTAAGGTAGACTTGAATTAGAGTCGTTTAACCTAGGGCCTGGTTAGTAGAACAGTATTATTGACTTAGGATATTCTAAATTCAATTAGATTAAAATTGCAGACTCAATTTGAATTCAGTTATATAGAATTCAGTTATGCTCAACCTAGAAATGAATGAGACATAATTTTTGCATTTTTTGGCAGGCCAGCCAAAACCAAAAAAGAAACAAAAAGTTCAGACCCAGGAGAGGCTGGACAGGAGACATAGGGCTGAACTTTTTGTTTTGTTTGTTTTTTGTTTTTGGACACTTGTTGGTCTAAACTTTTTGTTGTTTTCTTGGTGCGTCTATTGTTTTCAGAAGCTATTTTGCATTTGCTATTGTTTACATATCACTAGCCTTACAAGAACCTGCATTTCTACAATCTACCACTCCACCCCCCATGGCTACCCCTTCTGTATATATATATATGCATATGTATATGATATCTTTGTGTGTGAGCGGGTGCTTCAACCCACTGTTGGTGTGGAATGAAGATAGTGGCTGCCACATCTCTTCGTGGTGCTTGCCATGCACTTTGCAGATCTCGGCCTGACAACACCTCTTTGGGGCAGAGCTTTAAGGAACACACAGGCATCACATGAATCCCACAACTCCTGGATGACAATACTTACTTGTTTGGTTCGACCAGGTTAGCCGTTAGTGGTAGCCTTTTTCTTGGCTTCCATGGCCACACCTTTCGCTCCCAAGCAGCTAAGCAAGCTGAGGCAGGCGCAGCTGCGCAGCTTGACGCCGCGGGTGGCCGCCCTGGAGTCCGGCGATGTGGAGTGGTCGGGGCACCTCAGCAGGTGTGTTGTGCGTGCGGGTGTTTTGTTGTTGTTGTTGTTGTCGTCCTTTTCTGTGTTTTTTCTTTTTCGGCGGGGGGCATGCGGCTATCACGCAAACGCACGCCAACGAAGCTATGCGTGATAGTGGAAACCAGGTCTGATCAACCTGGAGTGCCTGCTTTGTTGAAGTCCAAGTTTCTACTCCGGTTTACCACTAAAGGGCTAATGCATTCTGCAGGAATATGGTTGCCTAGGTTGCCGTGTGGCATGATGTCTGGCTTCATGCCAGCCCAGGGGGTATGTCTACCGTACCCCCTGCCCGGATACAGAGCAGCCCGCAGCGGACCAAGCAGGCTTGTGCCAAAGTTATTTGCCAAGACTTGACGAACTATCAAACTTAAGCAGGCAGCTCTTGAGCAGGCCATGAGGTGACCGCAGCGGTCCAAGCAGCCCGCCATTTTTGCATGGCACACCAGCACACCCCAGCAAACGCCGATCCAGCACCCGCGTCAGCACCCAGCACCCGCACCAGCGTGGGCAAAACGAAGTGCCGATCCAGAGCCACACCATCGAGAAGTAGGAACCCCCATAATTCTAGTGGCACCAACCCTTGCTGTTGAGATGGTAGTGAACCCAGAATTCGTGCAAGATGCCTTTTTGAAACTCAGCGCGTATAGATTTGGTGCGGTGTTGGAACATCATCCGCCGCTTGAGCTGAGGTCTGCCTCAGTAAAGGTCGAGGTGGGAGAACTCCGTGCAGAGGTCGAGGAGTTGTCGAAGCGCGACTTGGATTGAAGATGGGTTAGTGCGGGGTTCCGGCAGTCGGCATAGCCCGAAGCGCTCGTAGGTTCACAAAGCATGTTCCGCCTGGCACGTGCCCAAGGCTCTTTCGCTATAAGGTTGGAGGCCATCGCTTCTAGGTTGGAGCAAGTGGGAAGAATATAATTTCATTGCATGTTTGGTTGCTCTAGGTTTGTGCAGGCGGCAGGTCTTAAACACAATGTGAGGCGTCGAGTCCACACGCTTCAAGGTAGATTGTGACATCCTGGGCCTAAGACTGTGGAATGCTGTGGGTAAATCTTCGCTTTGGCTTCAGCTTATGCAAATCGATGAATTGCTCAAACTCATGTTCCCCAGATGAGGGGCAAAACCTCCAAGTCCAAGTTCTTCAGTCGGCCAATCTTGTTCCAAACCTCGTTGTCGCAGGTTTCACTGTTTGGTGCATGAGTCTTGGTTTTGAATAGTTCTTGTCCTTGACCCACTTGTGCAGCCAGACTTCCTGAAGGTCACCGAAATTGATTCGACCTATGATGATCTCAGAGCCATTTCCTGAGGCCGTGCAGCTTCAGTACTGCAAGCAGAGAAGGTGGAGGAGATGGGTTTTGGACATTGGGGTGCAGGAGTTCCCCCTAGCATCATGCTTGAACCAGCGCCATCCAAAGATTGGCTTTTGTGATGATAAGCACATGGTCAGGGGATCTATCAACCACCCTTTCAGTGGTGCTTGCAGACGTCATTTGGAATGTTCTCCGCTGCTCAGCGCTGACACATCTCAGCACAGCGGCACCAGGCTGATCTCTCCCAACGCCTGGCACACCTGGAGCACGCGAAGGGTGCGTGGGTTGGGGGTCTCAGAAAGGCCGAGGCGCCGAAGGGTGTAAGTTGCTTGAGATGCTGAAGACGAGGTTTCCCCAAAAGTATGCGGTTATCTTCCTTTTCAAGGTTTCTTCACTCACAAGGGAGTCCTGGCCGTTTATCCCAAAGTTTATGCGCCGTTGGCAAGGTGCAAGTGGTGCAGAACGAGGGGTCGAAGGCGAAGGCAGCGAATACCAAAGTGCAGGAGCTGGTGGAGGAAACATCCAAAATGTAGCTTTGTCGCACCGAAGTGAGCTGGGGTGACCAAGACGATTGTGCAGCCACAATTTATGCCTTCAGCAAAGTGGAGCCTTTGGTATATTTTAACAGTTCCATACCCGTTCCATACCCTATTTGACTGGTCCTGACAGTCCAAAAACATTCTTTTTCCGTGGTCAAATGCTGTCAGGCCATGGCCCATGGTGAAACCGCGTGGCCTCACGATGACCCGACCCGCCTGAGGCAAGCGCAGCTCCGAGCCTTGACCCCACGGGTGACCGGTTTGGAGGCGGCGGTCATGGGCTCTGCGGATTGGTGGGGAGCTCAGGACTTTCCCGTTGGAAGGGGGGTTCATGCGTTAGATATGTGTGGAGCAGTTTGTAGCATGGAACCTAGTCAAGCAGCTGCTAGATGTGAACCAGTCATTGTCACTTTTCATAATATGGTTGAACTGCAGGAGATAAGCGGCGAAGCGATCAGTATTCATGGAGAGCACGTCATGACAGCTCGCAACAACCCATGGATGTGGAGGATTATGGGAAAATCAGATCGTCCAGATTCATGCACTTGTAACTTGAACGTACAAGAAGTATACTTGTTGGGACATGTTGCTCGGGTGCCTACTATCCAGATCTACCCACCGTCACCAACACTGAAAGTATTGTTTCAACTCACTTGGGCCATGTTGTTGGGCCCGGGCAAGGGCTGGATTTGCGCGCCATGCATGGCCAGCTCTCTCACTGCGGACACTGCCAGCGTCCTGATGCCGAGTTCCGCTGCTCCCGGTGTCAGGCGGTCCGGTTCTGCGACGGAGACTGCTTCCGCCTGGCCTGGCCCCAGCACAAGGCCAGCTGCCAGGCAGCACCCGCAATGCCCCGCGTGCCGAGACCACCTGCTCCGGACAGTGAGGCTGTGGCAGTGGTCGTGCCCTTTCGAGAACAACCGCCCTTGCAGCAGCGTGGCGAGCAGCTGGCGAAGTTTCTGCCACATATCACGCGTTTCTTGGAAGGCCTCGGTGTTCCTGCAAGGGTGCTGATTGTACAGCAGTCTGACGACGAGCGCAAGTTCAATCGTGGCCAGCTGCTGAATGTGGGCAGCTGGCCTGGTTAAGAGACTTTTTTGATCAATTCTTGCTGCGAGCAACAGAGGAACACGATGCCTAGACTGCAGGTTCCCCCCTGTTGATTCAGCATGGGGCAGATTTGCTGAGTGAGTTTCGTGTTTTTTGTCAGGAGGGTCTTGCGAACCCCTTGCTTTGCTGAGAACTTGTGCTTAAAGAAGTGTGTCCGTAATTGCCCAGCGACTTCAGCGACTTCGAACGTTTCACATGGATGAGGCTTTCAACTTGCAGAGGAACTGCTGCCCCATTTGGGCGCCTTCATCATGCACGACGTGGACTTGCTCCCATCTGATGACATGCGACAGGTCTACGCCCGCCCGCCACCAGAGGGATGTGCTGTGCACTTGGCTTCTGTGTGGGGGAAGCTTGGCGCAAGACTCAGGTCACGATGTGTCCGCGGTAATTGTGTGATAATCTAGGTGAAAGGTCAACAGATCACGATACCAGACTGTACCCCAATGGGATGTGTTGAGTTGTTCTTCTGCTTTCTTGGTGTGGGTTAGCACACGCCCAACAATTTAACAATGGTGAAGAGCATCCTACGCTGTAAAGGGGAACACTATGCTGTCCTCGAGTCCTCGACGCATTTATGCGTCCTTGTGTCCGGGGGCCGGATTTGGTGGTCCAGTACAGTTCTCAGCAGCTTTTTCAGGGGCTCTCAGGCAAAAAGGGTTTGTCCGACCCAAACAAGAAGAAAGAGAAGAACATCATCCCCATATCCTCCCAATCTTTTCCTGGGAGCCCCCGTTCATGGCTGAGGAAGTACTCCTATGCCAACTTTATTGGCGGCGTTTTGTCCTTCCGGCCCGGTGACTTTCGGAGGGTGAATGGATATCCCAACAACTACTGGGGCTGGGGACTGGAAGATGATCAATTAGGACTCCGTGGGTGAATGTGGTTTCTTTACAGGAGTGATGCATGTATATGTAGCATTTAATATGGGTGGTATATGTATTTGCAGAGATGCTCAACAGATTGGGGGACAACAAGCTCTTGTTAAAAGCCATTGAGTGAGCCTCATCAATGAGCACTCCATTCATTGCTTTGTTTTCCACATGACTTGGCAAAATGCAGGACTCCGGATGGCTCACCAAAGGATAAAGCCTTTGCGGGTGCGCGTGGGGACGTTTGAAGACCTGGATCCCATCAACATGAAGGAAATCCTGGAAAGTGGCCGGTCGCAGCCAGACAGGTACCACTGTTGCTGAAAGTTCATACCTCTTCAACTTCCACAGCATAATTTGACAGGTCCAAACTTGAACATAGACTAATCAGTAGCATGCCTTGCCTGATGTTCAACATGAGTTGGGGAGTTTCGGGTGGTGCGCTCATTCTGACCCGGGCCAAGCATCAGGTTCAAGCGCCACTTGCCCTTATACAACTCCGAGATGTTTAGGCAGTCCGAGCTGCGCTTGGATCCGGATTGGCCCACAAATGGCCTCAAGAATTTGCGTTTTAAGAAGCTCAGCGAGAAGACAGAGGGACTTCTTTACCATGTGGTTGTGGAGCTGGAGTCAGGCTCCTTGGCTGTTGCTCATGTGGTGAAGGGAGTGGTGAGAGGGAGAATGGGCATTGTTTGGTGATTTATTGCGCAGTTTGTATGTCCAAGTGCAGTAATTAATGGACTTGGCATTGGCCACCAAGCCCGCAGTTTGTCATGGCTTTTTTCACCTCCGCATCATTCACAACCGCCCAGGCATTGCCTAGCTGGGCCTGGCCATCATTTGGGCATGAATCCTGGAAACACGGACTGCAGACTGCAAGACAGCAGATTCAGCACTCGATCAACTGGTGCTGGGGTGTTTTACGGGGTGTTTTGGCTGGACCGACAAACCTCGCTCGCCTCCGCGAAGCCTTCCCACCAAGCACAAGAGAACTTGGTGGAGGTCACGGGCCAATGGACGGAACACTGCGGCGGAATGAAAAGGCAGACCTTGCGCCCCACGTGCGCCTGCACATGTGCGCATTGACACGTGGCACCTGTGTGCGCCTGTTGGGTGCGCTTCCGGGTGAGGTCTGCGATCTCGGTGAAGGCTGAAGTAGCCCAACTTCGCTTAGAGGTCGAGGAGTTGTCGAAACGTCACTTGGACTGAGGGGGTGAGGCATGGATCAAGAAGTTAGCAAGTTGGCAAGAAGGTCAAGAAAGGAGCAAAGGTGGCATAGGGGTGGCGTGGGGGTGTTAAGGCCCCACCAATCTCATGAACTTTGGGCAAATAATCTCGTGTAATCGTAGATAATTCTTTGTGACTTGTTCAGCTATGAAGGCTCCAAGCTGTTGCTAGCTTTTTGGATTTCGGCCAATTTGTGAATCAAGACTTAGTCAATGTGGGGTGGATTGGGTTTGTCGCCCGGTCCTGCGAACTGTCCTGAGGCCGCGCAGCTTCAGCACTGCAAACTGAGAAGATGGAGGAGATGGGGACAGCTGATGGTTTGGAGTTTTGGACACCTGGGTTCCAGGGCCGGTCCGCATTTGGAGGTCAACAAGTTCTGATTTGCGCGTCCCATGTGCATGATCTCACCAGTCTTTGTTGGTGTCTACCGGCACCAGGCGGATCTCTCCCAAAGGCTAGCACTCCTGGAATGCGGCAAGGGCGCGTGGGTTGGGGATCCCCAGCAGTGGCCTCGCAGCGTTTCCGATGCGTTCGCGCTCTGAAAGCGATGTGAGACCTGAGCGGCTGTGTGTCGCACAAAAACTGAGGGGGAGGCTCCAAGTACTCCGAAGCTCTCCCACTTGGCGCAGCAGGCAGCTCCAGACATCGCGGGCAAAGCATGAGGGGTTCAGCCGGGTCGAATGTAGGAATGTCGGCCGAACCGTCGGCAAGCTGCGGGGACTGTCAAATAAAGTGTACACGTCGAGGTAAGCCAGGGTCGGAGACAGCGACTTGGTCAATGCAACGAGACTCTACCAGGATGTGAGAACTGGGGATGCAAGGTGACCAGCAAGGCAAGGGCCTTTTTGCATCATTAGGTAGTGTGGCTGACATCTCATAGTGTCGAGCGATCTTAGTGCAGTTGCTTTGCCAAAGCTGGGGTCAAGAAAGATCCAAAATTGGGATTGGGCCTGACGTTGACTTGCGGAGACCAAATACTGAGGTAAGTCTTGCGGATTAGCAGCCTGTAGAGTAGAGCTTAAAAGGCTTCAAATCAAACTGCCTAATTTGCCATAGAGCCATGGACTGCATCAGCTCCGATGGCAGTGGACATGCGACTGAACCTTGGATAGAAGAAAGGGAAAGGTTTGGAGAGGTGGGCCAGGTAGATCAGAAGAACACAATTGGTCACCGGTGTACATTTGGATTGTGTTTTTTCCTTCAGCATGTCGTTTGTCACTGCACCAAGACATGTCCCCAGTCAGCCGATGCTCTATCCTTGGCGTTGTGTGAACTACCGTTTATGCATGTTTATGCTGGAATGTACTTGAAACAGGGCATGATAAGCACAGCAGGATCTTGGGAGTTTAGAGGCTCCACTCATGTTCGACAGTAGTGATGAGTCTTTGTCACCTACCCAGTCACACGTTTACACGCGCATGCTGTGCAAACAGATGGTGTGTAATGCGTGTTTCACAACCAGTGACCCCATCCATGAGTCCATAAGGATAGAATGCGTTTTCATCCACAAAGCCTCCCGTCAAGTCGCATATGGCTCACTCGAGGCCCTGATCGCACACATGGTTGCACGACGGCTTCAATGACGACTGTGCGCTGTCCCAGCAGCAATGAAATTCACAGGGGCTTGAGAGATTGACAGGTGGCGAGCATTAGATTGAAGTCAGTAAGGTGTTAGAAGCCTCCACTACGCAGGAGTGGCACAAGAATTGCACTATGAATTAGTACCTTCTTAAGTCCTGGAAAAGTTCATGAATTACAACGTAAGGCCGGTTCTAAGTAAGGGTTTTGAAGAAATATCTCCCTTCAGCCGCCATCGTTGGGTGGAGCTTGCAGGGAAAAAGGCTCCCTTGAAAAAAAGCAATCGTTTTGCTCGGACAAGCGGTGGGGGGGAACTTGGAGGCAAGCTAAAATAGAAGCAGGTGGCAAGAGACAATGGAAGGAGCTGCCACTCACTAGCTGCAAGTCTTGAGGTGGCCAATGTTTTTTGGAGACATCTATTCCATTCTCCCAGGACCGAAAGCGTTCTATTCAAAGGCATGGTGCATCCACTTTCCAAGACGACGACTTGATGGCCGAAGCAGTCTGGAGAGGTTCAGGGTCGTCAATGTCAGTTTTTCTCCCGAACGTTGAACAGGAGGCAGGCTACATAAAAGGGTCCATTAAGCATGCTCCGATACCGGCAGTGCAAGCAGTGGTGGCTGGCCCAAGACCATCGAGCTGCTTCGCTCATGGTCGCAACAAGTGGAAATTGAGTCGTCCAGACAGCTGACTCGCTCAGTTAGCGGGTGTTGTCGAATACTACGCTGTAGCGTTTAGAGAAGTCATAAAACTCGTAAGGCTTCATAGGGCTTCATAGGAACAACGTCCTTGAATTGAAAAGAGCCCGAATGAGATGCGGCCTTCACTTTAAGTCACCAACCCTCACCCTTTAGTCATACTTGCTTTGTAGGATAGCACCTGCTGCGGCTGGGGTGGCTTCCAACGATTCTGCCTTGTTTCTGAGCAACCTCCCGTGGTGGGGGGTAAACTTGCACGCTACTTTGCCCAGTTGTGCTTCGATGGACAGTTGTATCAAAGATCAGGCAATTCCCTGCTTGAAAATGAGCGGGTCGTGCCCCAAGCAAGGCAACAGTGCAACAGTGCACGCAGGCGCTTCTTTGCATTGCGCTCCTTGGCGTGGAAGCACGCGGAGGGTCATTTGCCGCACGGTGCACACCTGTACTGGCAGTTTCTTGCGTCCTCGGTCCACCTAGTGCACCAAGATGATTCTGCTGTGATATCAAACCACCTTCGTCAGAAATCTAGCTGCGACTGAGTAGACATTGCTTTTGTACCACTGGAAACCTAGTCCTATGAGAAAGCATTTGCTGGGACAACCTGGATGCTGAGAACATGTCCAGGAATTCGTCCTCCTTATTGTTTTCAGATATCCTGAAGGTGCTTTTGTCAGCTGGTTTCTTCGGGTTTAGCTCCCACTGCGTGCGTCTTAAATGAGGCTAAACACTCCTTAAGCATTTGTGCAAAGCTGGTTTGGTCGTGAAACTCGGCCAACCACCTTCAGTGTTTGGACACTGCGAGAATGACAGCTGTGGGTGCAACTGGTGGGATGCTCCCCACCAGTTGCACCCGGCGATCGAGTTCGTTGGCCACGAAGTAGTCGTTCATCTCAGCCGAACACGTTCATTCCCGTCCGGCCCCGTGGATTCCTGTCAGGGTGCATTTCGTTCTTGGCTCCGAGCGACGCTCGGTGTTTTCTTAAAGCACACTGGAGCAAGAAGCTACTAGGGGCTCCTGGCCTCGCTACTAGGAGCAAGGACGCTCTTAGGGCCTTGCTACTAGTAGCATTCTTACTACTAGGATCAATAAAGCACACTGTTTGGTCCTGGTACAAGTTCCGTCCCCCTGAGCCATGACCAATGGCTTCGGCATCGGAGTCTTCGGCATCCTACCACATTCTACAAACTTCTTTTGCGTTTTCAAAGTACAAGGTGTCTCTTGAAATTTCGGTGTTGTCCTTTAAGAAACTCCTTTGTCAGCGAGCCTTTGTGCCTTGGCCTTGGTTGCTATGGATGGAAGACAGCCCGTTTCTGAGTATGTGAGTATCATCTCGCCGAGTATCCCGCATTTAGCACAAGATGAAATCATAAAGTTGATGCAACCGGTGCAGTTCCATGGTGGATCAAAGCATATAGCCATTTCTGTTGATAGAAAGCATCTACAATTGAGTAAAAAATTGACCAGGCCACTCCATGGAACTGGCTCACAAGCTTGATGCTAATTACAAGCTCAACAAAGTTCGTGCAGGCATTGCCAAAGGGTATACTCAGCTGACGCCCCTGACCTAATTTTGGATGTGCTGCCATGAGGGGTTTGGCACTGGCTGGCAATGGCTGGCACTGGCTTTGACTTCTTCTCGGCCTCCGTCAATCAGCCAATTGTTTTGGAATCCTCTCATCAAGCTTGAGAGAATCACGGAAGTAGCCACATTGACGCCGAGTTTCAGATGTCCTTCTGGCCCAGGAAGAGCTGACCAAGAGATACCTGTGTCACCCGACCGAAGAAACGATAGCAAAGCGTATGAGTGGTCTGCGGCAGAGATAGTCTGTGCCTCTAGCTTGGAAGGGGTGAGTCATGGGCAAAACCTTGTGCACGACTCGCTTTCTGAGAGAGCTAATATGTTGTTAGCAGATGGCCGAAGATCCACTGCCCCTCTCGGGTGTACATGTGCCTGTGTGCAGCATGTAGTCAAAAGCAGGCTTGGCAACGTGGCAGTCACCAAGCCAGAAGCCAGAAGTGTTTGCGATGGCTCTTGCATAGGGGGGTTTCACCTTGGTGTCCTACTGTCATGGATGATAGGGCTTGTTCTGGGGGAGTTGGTTTAATCAACTCACAACGTTCCACACCGCACTGGCTCGAGATTCCAACTGCTTATTTTCAACCACAATTTGTGTCTGGTTAGCCTTGTGTATATGTGTGTGTTCCAACTTAAACATTGGCATGTGCGTCAAACCCCCCCCCAAAAAAAAAAAGGAAACTGAAAAGTTATTGAAAGTAAAGGCCCACGGCCTTGTGGACGATGAAAGGGGGACCAATGATTTGTGACAACTGGCAAGTCAGGGCATCCAGCAAAATCACGGAGACTAGTTTGCAAGGTCTCAGATGATCATGTAGTTTACTTGGCAGGTGGTAAGAGGCATGGGTGGGAGTTAAGGCACCACGAAGATGGATGTGACGGTGCTTTGTCCATGCAGGCTATCAAATGACTTTGAATAGCTCCGATCTAGTAAATAGTAAGTTACTTATTCCTGTGTCCCTTGCCCAAGTTTCCTGTTACCCAGATTTGGGTTGACTTGACAATCAGTTCGCCCCAACCTGCACGTGGAGCTTTTGTGTCCAGATACCTGGAAGGAGTCAGAGGACTTTGGCATGTTGCAGGCGTCCATTGATCGAAGTGGTGCTGTCAATCCTCCCAGGACCCCGACAGGGCAGGGAGTAGGAATCATTCGAGGAATCATTGGCATGAAGATTGAGCATAGGCTGATGAGCACAGGCCCCGCACTTTGCTTACGCTGCTTCCAGGCCAAAGTGTTAGCACAACTGTCAAACCACATGCAAACTTCCGGCCTTGATGCCTTGCTGGCACAAGACTCCATGGTGTGTGGAGTTGCAGCTTCCGCACTACGATCCAGGCTTTCCGTAATTGTCATGTCGCTCCGCAAGCCACAGAGTTTGGGCTACAGATGTTCAACCTGAAGCATATCCTCAAAAATCCTGAGGTCAAAGCCCAGATGTTGATTCAAAGCCCCGATGCGTGCTCCCAAACGACTCCAGGACCTGACCGACGAGGAGTGCTTAAGTGCCTTAACCATCACGAGGACAACATGACTTTTACTGTCGCCAACTTGAATCACACCTCTGAGCTATTGGCCAAGTCACCACATGTTCTCCCCAAGCCGATGTAAAGACGGACAGGATATTGCTCATCACTGACTTGCCCGACTTTAGGGCCCGTCCCGCCACCGCCATTTACGTCACAGCTCAGGGCGGCCGGCAGAATCCGCTTGGCCGTGGCTCCGGCTTGGCATCGTGCATATCTCGATGGGCCTCCCGGATCGCAGATGAAGCTGTCAGGCCACGGCCGCAGTGCATGGCATGTGACACGCCGCTGCAGGGCCCCTTCTGTGCAGTGCCGCTTCCGCTTTGGCACTTCAAGGGCCACACTGGCTTCAGCTACCAGTGTAGTATAGTGACTACTTGGAAGAACATTGACAAGAAGGTTGTTCCCTCTGTTCGTGTGAAGGTGGCAGGGCCAACAAGAGGACTCAAACGACAACTCGATGGGTTTGAGCAAAGTGCACTGAATAGCATGAAGACAAGGCCCAGCAACGGTCGACGCGGGTCCTCTGCCTCGCCGCCCCGGCCCTGTGGCTTTCTCGCCGCCTCTTTTGACTCGGAGCAAGCAACGTGCAAAAAGACCGGTGCCCAGTCCCGAGGTGTGTTCGAGTTGCCAAGCGAAGTGAAACGCGGCACCCCTAACATGACGCATAGTCAGTGGTCAGTGCTGATGCTGGTGCGATTGGTGCCAGGTCGAGGCCATTCGCTCGGCCAGTGCGGCCAGTGAAGGCCTGTTTTGTGAGCTGAAGACCACGATCATGAGGGTGGAGGATTTGCAAGTCCAGGCTGGTCTTAAAGGGTCTTCCTGTGTGTGGCCAGGACTCGGGGGATGCAAGCTGCTAGCTGCTAGAAGAAGATGAAGTGGCACCCATCAATCACATAACTGGTGCATCCACCGAGGTCTACTGGTCCCATCTTGTCCCTCAGAAAGGTGGGGCGCCCCACAGACGCCAGGTGAATCGCCTCTCAAGAGACTCCAAGAAAGGCTCTGAGAAGATTGAAGGTGCCGTCAGCCGTTTGCAGGCGAACACTGGGTGTCGTTTGTTCGGTCAGATGGTAGGGCCCTGGCAGGGGAGGATCTCAGAACCTTTGGTTGTGAGTGCGTGCCTGGTTCAATCGTGCTGACATGCGAGTGCTAACAGGCCGAGAGACATGCAGTGGAGTGGTCATACAGATCCATCTAGCCATCCATCTAGCCATGCATCCAAGCGAGGGGAGTCTTGGAAGTCCAACCGGCGTCAGGACATGGAGAGGACCCTGGAGCGCCTCAGCAAAGCCCGTGAGAGCTCCGAGCTTTGGCGGGAAGTGAGGGAGCTGAGGCGAGGGATTTCCCGGGTGGGATGCGGGGACGCTACAGGCCAAGATCAAAGCTCTACATGGCTTCACACTCCACACATCCTATCTCATACTATCACATACTACAGGCCCATGACAGCAGACTTGCAAGTGATGTGAGGAAGAATTTGGCCAGCTTGGGCGATGCGTCTCCAAGTGGTTTGGAGCCTTGCAGCCGAGCTGGCATATCATAGTCCTATAAAGTATATATATATAAGTTATATAAGTCCACGATAGCGCCAGCTTGAAGAATGGATGAGTTTGGGATGGTAGCACCAATGTTCACTATCAAACAAGCTATTCCAGGGATTGAAGGAAATCTCCGCCATTCCCCTTCCTGCTTTCTCTAGGGCTAGACTTTAGGGGTTTTCTTAACTAGTAGTAACAAGAAGCTAGTAGAAACAAGTGCCACGCTACTAGTAACAAGTGCCTGACTAGTAGTAACAAGAAGCTAGTAGTATCCACCTAATCACTCCCGGGTTGACCTCCCCCCTCGGACCAGTCGCCAGCGGACGCGGAACGTCGTTCGTCCCGACGCTCCCCGTTCGTAGCGTCCTTGTTACTAGTAGTAAGGCACTTGTTACTAGTAGCGATGCACTTGTTCCTAATAGATTCTTGTTACTAGTAGTAAGGCCAGGAGCCCCTAGCCTAGTAGCGATGCCCTTTGTTCCTAGTAGCGTCCTTGTTCCTAGCAGGTCGCAAATCTCGGAGCTGAGACTTCAGGGCTTGATCCGTAGTCCGAGGACAGCACCGCCACGAAACTCCGGGAGTTCGGAAGGGGGGTCGGTTGGGCCCGGTTGGGATTGTTTTTGTTGAAGAAATCAGAAGTCCAATTCTATGGGTGTGTGTTATGAGATGCTTTCCAGAAATTGACTTCGAGTTCTGAGAGGATACGGGGCGATTCTGCGTTGAACCTAGTGGCTGTTATTGGCTTGGAGTTCTTCGAAAGCATCTGACTTTCGTTCATGTTGTCTTTGTCAAGGCTGTTTTTGGAGGGCAACTATGCCAACTTGCAGAAAGGTTACTGCAATTAGGACCTTGGACCAGCAACAGGGCTTAGGTCTCAAAACCTCACACGCTACCTCAAGCTCAAACACAAAAAGGCCAATGCAGCAATCCCAGAGTGATTGAGATCATCCTGTTTGACGCAAGGGGTTTGTTCCTCTTGACGGTTGCCTCGCACAGCCTTTGCGCCTCCTGCGCAGAGGAGTGGTGAAACGCAACGACTGGGATGGTTAGAACCATGAGGAAAACCAAGGCACCGCTGCAGTTGGGAGTGACGCGTCCTTGCTTCTAGTAGTAGCGATGCCAGGAGCCCCTAGTGGCTTCTTGTTACTAGTAACAAAGCCCGGAGCCCCTAGTAGCGTCCTTGCTCCTAGTAGCGATGCCAAGAGAATCATTATGAAAATTAGACAACATGCCTCAGGGGCCCGACAAATCTGTCGCAGGGTTTGGGCTACTTGATGGGCAAAAGCCGACAGCGCCTCTCCTGGGCATTCTTTGCTCATTTCAGTGCACATTTGCCAGGCCAAAGAAGCCAAAGAAGACATTTATTGTGGACTCTGAGTCTGCCCCAGCTGGCTTTTGTTTTGATGAGCGCGACCGAGGGACTCAGTGTTGCAACAAGACAGGTTCAACAAGGTTCCTTTCCTTCTTCAACAACACTTTGATGGATTCATGATGTTTTACTGCCATTCAAGTTGAGTAGCGCACTTTTCAAGCAAAAGAAGGTCAGTTCTTACCCGCACCCTGGGATAAAATGTCCCGGTGGACCTTTTGGTGAGCGGGCGACCTGTTAAAAGAAGGGCATGGCGGACGAACACTCGCTTGCCCATCGTAGAGGCCACGTTCGCCTGCCGCAGCCAGTTTGCACCTCGCCAATTCAACGGACATTCCTTTGTGAAACAGGTGCCTCAAGGAACCAGAGAATGTGTCCAGCCTGAGAGTGTGATCCTTTTCTTGGGGGCCATGGCCTTAGAGTCAGCAACAGCATTGTATTCCCCAAGATGCTGAGGCAGCCAATCTTGGGTTTGGCTTGCAGCTGTCATCCTTGACTGCAGAGATTGGCGGTCCCACCACTGAGCTCATCGGTTTCAGGTCTACCCCAGAGGATTGGGCTTCATTGCGCTGGCAGAACTGCAGCGTTCGGGCCCGAGAGGGAAGGGCCCAGACTGACAAGTTGTGAAACACCTAGAATTTCGAGACTACTTCAAGTAGGACTTGTCATCGGTCATGTATGGTCATCTCCATTCACCAGAGCAACCTTCAGAAAGCGCGGGAATGGCATTTTTGAGAAAGCTGCAGCCGCTTTCCGAGTATGCAATTTGCTGAGTGAAATGACCTACCTGTGATGTGGACCTTCCTCGGGTGGAAAATTGTGCCCATGAGGTGGAGGCACTTGTTTGAACAATTGAGTGCTCAATTGACCCCTGTGCCAGTGGCAACATCCTCCCTCCCGAAACCTGTTTCAGACTGGCACCATAAAATGATTGAATGCTTCAAAACAATCCCTCATTGAGGAACTTGTGCATTCTTTGCTTAATTGACCGTGTAGCTGCTCAAAGTGCCTTGTCGTTTTAAGACAAGCCACGACCTTTGAATCGCTTCAACTACGAGCAAACCATAAACAAACAGACAGCTATCCAGTTCTTCTCAGGTGAGAATTGCAGCGTGCTGGCCCACACAGAGGAGAGGGTCATCAAGGAATGCATGCAGAATCATCTCTCCAAGACCAGGTGAACAGTCTGCGAGATTGTTGAACTAAGCAAACTAAGCAAAGAAGTTCACTCAGCCGCACCAACTCCAAGACTGTTGCAGACCAGTTTTCTTGCGGGCTACCAGCAGCTTGGCGTCGTCAAGAGCATTTGGCTTACGTGAAGTCTAAATCCCGGTAGTGCAGCAGGAACACTGCGCCATCCTCTTCCACTATGCGGAGGAGAGGGTACTCATACTGTACGGTATAGGTATGATTATTATAGTCAAGTCCATGTTTACGGACAAGCTGCAACAGCTCCGAAATATATGTTGGATGCTTCCGGGCTTACATGTTTGTACCTGGACAAGCGCGTTGTAGCCACAGTGGGAGCATGTTCGGATCATGTACCCGCCTTCACTCATATCAGGACTTGCCGCACGCAGTAGCACAAGAGATCAATGAAACCTCGAAGCAACGACTCAAGTCCAAAGTGACAGCTCTCAACAAGCAGACACCAAAAAAGACAACTCATCACCTGAAGCCTGCACGGACATCACAAAAGCTCCGCGAAACACTACTTTGCTGCATCACTGATGACTTCACATGCGCAGTTGCAGATCGTCAATTAACAAAACAGCATGCATGGAATAGAGCGGTTGCATCATTTATACAACGCCAGAGCACTGTGACCATTCCCCTCCATACCAAGGGAACATCGCCTGTATCGATGAAACGCACGCATATGTCACACACACATGCATATGCGATATGCACATCACGGCGTTCTTCGTCGGAGAGCTGGGACGCTCCGACGAAGACCCAGCTCCGACAGTTCACCTCAGGAGACCGTTCTGGAGCTGGGCGGGGGGGCCTTTGAGGGCCGTTGCGGAGTCCAGCGGTTGGCACAGTGATGCGGAGTCGGCGATGAACACGACTGGAGAAGCGGATGGCTTTCACTGGCTTTCACTTGAAGAAGGACTTTGTGCACAACAAACCAATGTCCTGCCTCATCCATCCAGTGACTTGCAAAAATGCAAGGGTAAAGAAGAAGTAGGCAAGCTAAGATTTCTGAATCGGAGGAATGCCGCATGCTTACCTGCCTTCAAGAATCTTGGGCCCAGGTTCGTTCCTGCTGCTGTGCGAAGTTCCTGGTGGTTCAGGGCCCCACCCTTGGAGTGGCTTGCTGCAGAAACACCCTGCTGCAGATAGCCGTTCCAAAGCTCAGGTTCGGTCCCCTGACAACCCTGCCGTGCGGGCCCACGGGATGCTTTGAATGTTTCGGAGCATCGGTCTTCCAAAGCATTTTGTTGCGGATATGCAATTAGGTAGGCACGACTCATGACTCACGTGATTAGCTCATGACTCATGATGGTTACGACTTCCATGCCACCTCAAAGCACGTTGGACATGTTACAGCTTCCATTTCACGCTCCAGAGCTCCCCACCATGCGAAAGGGGTCTGGCTTGGCCAAGGCCGCAGCCCTCTCTTCAAGACCTCTCATCTGTGGCTGAGATGCAGGCGCAGCCTGGCTCAGTGCCGATACGCATAACGTGAACATGTGCATGGTGATGCACCTGGCTTCATGCCGCCGATGCAAACTTGTTGGAGCCTTCCATGCAGCTTCTGGCATCCTCGTGGCAAGTGCAATACTTTCTGCAAAGCAACGAGGCGCATGCCACTTCGATTGTATCACAAGAACGAACAGCCAACCTTGCATATGTTCTTCGCATCATCATGACAATTGTTTCCGGGCTTGCGGCTTGTTGCTGGTGGATAATTAGGCCTTTGGTCATTTGGGTTCAGCTGCTTTGCTTTGCCTCCTTTTGGTTCCAGCCTCGGTCGGTCTGCCTAAGTCGGGCGGGACCGCTACGCTTCGCTACACTCAGAGAGGGCATAGAGTCAGCTATTTGCTCCGTTCAGGGGTGGGTCTTAAACTTAGGTCAGTCCAGCCAGGTGTCTCAATCAACTGCCACCCCTTCGACGGTCACCGACCACTCCAACCGCAACCAGCATGTGTTCGTTCAGTTCGCCATGCTTCACTAGTTCACTGGCGGTTGGGCGCTGCCTTGCATGGCCCATGGTGGCCAACATGCATTGGGGATGGGCTGAGGCAGCTGGCGGCTGGTGATGCCTAGACGTGAGTCTGTCTCATTGGGGAGATGTTTGAAGTACAACATCGGCTCCTTCCTAGCAGTCTTCGTATTGGGACCGGCCTGGGCGAAGCGTGCGAGAGCCGGGACGCTTGAAATAGCACAGCACAATATAAATCATAAGCTTTGCGCTTCTTTCACCTGCTTTTTGTCCATCAAAGATGGCGTCGGTGGTACCGGAGCAAATCTGGATGCACTCAAAAGGCTCACATGCTTAGTTTTTGAAAATATAGATTGAGGATGTGTGCGTCGAAATCATTGCATGGCTTTTTTCTTAAAGCTTTGTTGATGGCAGGATGGCTGGCCCTACAGCAGCGAATCCTGAGCCCCTGCCCTGATGCTGGACTCCAAGCCTCACCACTGCGAGCACTTCGAAGCGACCAGGAAGATGAGGTGGGCCAGCTTAGGTCCCAACCTGTTGATTTCTCAAGAACGGATGATGGGGGCAATTGGCCCACTTCCTGAAGTCATGCGGTCATTGCCATTCTCATGGAAGAGTTTGAAGGTTCGCCGCAACTTCGTTACTTCGTTCTGCTTGTTTGTTTTGAAGCATGACTTGCCTAGCTGATAGGAGGACGCAGAATTGCTCCGAAATTGTGTCCAGCAAAGTGAGTTGGAGCTGTGCTCGCACAGCTCAGGTGGAGACCAAAGCTGAGAAAGGATCAGACGTTGCGGAGGCCCCATTGCAAGCTGCCAAAGAAGCGGACAGGTATGATCAAGCTGCCAAAGAAGCGGACAAAGATGATCACACCGGCGGACCAGCTGTGGAACGAGAAGGCAACCAAGATCGACAAGCTGAAGGATCCAAAGGCCTATGGGCATCATGGATTCGCACCTAAGAAGTTTTCGCACCTGGTTTAACCTGGTTTGGTGTTTTGTCTTTTTTCTGTGTGTGTGTGACATTTGTTTTGACCTGTGACGCGCATCCCTTAGCCCAAAAGCCGTTTTGGGACTCCACTGGCATTCCAACGGTCTGTTGGGTCAAATGAAATCCCCACAGACGTGGTCACACCCTGGTCATTCACGGCAAAGAAGCTTGCTCGCCCCAAGATGAACAGAAGTCTTGACCTCAGATGGACATCATCTTTTGGTTTGTGCTAGAAGCTACTCGTAGCAAAGGGCATCGCCACTAGGAGCAAGAAGCTACTTGTAGCTCCTGGCATTACTACTAGTAATAAGAAGCCTTCGGACTTCGCCTTGGTGCCCAGGTCTTTTGCGCCCCCCAGTGGCAGGATTGCACGTGCCAGGGCCGAGTTCGTTGGGGCAACGAGGAGACCTGGCTGGTGATGACGCCGAAGGATGCGAAGCCTTTGACAGTGACCTGCAGCGTGCAAGTTCTTGAAGATGTCCTTCCAGGCAAGGATCCTGGAAGATGTCCTTTTGCCGTTATGGAGTTTGGTCCTGGTTCCAAAGAGGAAAGGGAAAGAAAACTGTTCGAATTGGAGCCGGTGTGCACCCACTGCGCAGCACCCACTTCGCCGTTGGCATTCGATGCCGAGTTTGGCATCGATTTGTCCATTCGAGCCTGAGGTGATGATGGCAAACATTGCGAGTGCGAGATCATCCTGGGCAGTGCTTTCCACAAGGGCTTGAACCCAATGTGGCTGCCAGAGGTGGAGGACAGGCCTTTGTGATCGTTCGAGCTTGAGCTACCAGACTGGTGGCTTCACAATGCACCCTGCAAAAGAAGTATGATAGTGAACTTTGTCCAGAAGAATCCAATCCCAGACAAGGGTGGTTGCTTGGACCTGTTGGAGTGCTGTGAAGGAGGACAAGGCGCCGCTGGTTGCCTCCTGCCAACTGTGGGAAGAAGACAGAGGAAGTCGCTGGGGACAGGAGCAGTGGAAAGCTGTCGAGGCATTTTGTTCACAGGCGCATGGGATAGAACCGCAGAAGAAGCGCCGGTGCGGTAATCCATAGCATGTGTAGGACATACACACTTACTTGCTTGATCCTTGTGCTTGAGGGTCCCCGATGTCAAATCCTTGATAACATTGAGTGAGCACTGAGCAGGTTTGAAATCGCCGACATTCGACTTGAAGTGCCGTGAGAGCAGGATTGGTCTGGCGAGGAGCCTGGAGAACGGACGATCCCTTTGGAGACAATGCGGCAGCTCATGGAAGCACGTGTGGACCCGCGGTTCCGAGAGGTCTATCAGACACTTGGCCCGTTTTTTGCAGATGCCGGGTTTGATAGGTCCAAGAAAGTTGAATGGATGTTTTCCGGGTATATATATATTATATATATATATATATCACGAAAGGTAGCGGTTACGCTACCTGAGTTTTCCTTTTGCTTTAGCAAAAATGTATTAACCCAGAGCTGCAGCCTATCTCTCGGAGAAATGGTCCCCGACATCTTCGTTTGCT